TCATCCCTAAAACGAACCTTATCCAGGAAAGTAGTGTATTCACTCACTTTGTTTAACATTATTCTACTAAACTCCATTCCAGCTGCGAAATACTGAGGACGAAGGCCTTCGATGCAAGCATAGGTGATATGGATGGTACCTACGCTTCTGACTAATCCTTTGGACAGAAGTTCTGCATAATATCAGTCTCTTCTCCAATTTGCTGTAGAGTTATATGGGATTTTCCTGCAACTTTAATAGTACCTCCAACTGATTCGCCTCATTGGTGACACTTGGATTACTTATACATTGTTTACTATACTCCACTGCTCCACTTGATTCAAAACGTTCTCGTACTGTGGAAAATGATTCCGGCCTTGGATGTCGCATATTATGGTATCGTTGCTTATAAGTTCGAGATGCTAGGGAACTATTTCTTTGGGCTTCGCCAAAAACGAACACCAAATTCACCATTTGTCTTCCAGAAAAATTTACTTTCAAACACGTTTTTATTATAATGCTCACAAAGCTAGTTTTGACAGCTTATAACTAATCAACAATTTATTTGTTTCCAAGGATGATGCGATATTTTAAGGAATTGAGCCGTTTCATAAAAGACGTGCTGATAACCGAAAAAATAGCCTGAAAACTTGCACAAATATACAGGGTGATGCATTTGGAATTTTAGAAAAACTGCAATTTGCGCTTTTGACCACCCTGTATGAGCAAAAACTAAAATTCGAAAAAGTAACAAATAAGATAACAGCTGAGGTGTGTAAGTTTTCTTTGATACAAAATTCAGCACTCCAGATTTCAAAATGGTGGACTGAGGGGTTGCTGAAGTGGGGGGTTTTCTAGACAAAACACCTTATATCTCAGTACCTAATTACCAAAACCCCATATTTATTATATCAATTTTCTTCTTTTAAACTGATTTATCCAAATATGCAATAACATTTGAGGCATTCCATTTGAAAAATCACAACTTTGATATGTAGGTCGAAATTGGGGGGGCACTATGTACAATAGCCAATATTTTAGAAATGTGACTTCAAATGTCATGTATAACATCCGATCAATAGATTTTCCTAAAATGTATTTATTTATGAGTAATATTCCGTTCACACATAGATGGGCAACCCTGCATGTATATTTTTTTGAATTTTTCAATGGTTAAGTGGCAGAATAGCTTCAAGCTAGCTAAACTTCGCCCTTAAATAAGGGGCGTTTTTTTATTATTATTATTATTAATGTATTCCACTATGCCACATTGCTACCTTCAGCGGCGTTGGTAAAAAGGGCAAATATCTTAATGCCCTCCATAGCATAATGTAGAGAAGAGGAAGCTCAATTCATCCCACATAACTGTAGTGCCTCTTTGTCATATCGGCGCCTGTGTCTTCGGATTCCTCAACAACTATTTATCTGCAACTGAAGTTGGGAGCTTTATCAGAGTAGTTAATTAACACAAGATGCTGGATCCGTCATCATCACAAGACAATGCCTCGTTCTACGCGCCGTCTTACAACCAGTAAGCCCCTTCTAAGGTGTGAGTAGAGTGTGTCGAAATATGTACGTGTGCTGATGAATAGACGTAAAGCTGAGACGATATTGTTCTAAGTGCATACGAGTATAACGCTCTCTCAAGTATGTCGTTATGCGACAAACTAAGTTGTTTTGGAATATGATGCGGGTTGTTGCGTGCTGTTCGTAGCATAAATTTTGCATAATCAGTATGCGAGACGATATGTCTGACTAACAGGTACTCTAACGTAATGCTTACATACTATAGATAAATCAAATGTGTTATACATTAGTTCATGACTTTAACGTCTTCCAGTACTTTCTACTCTCTCTTTTAACTGATATGATTGTCGTCTCTCCTTTTAACTGTTAAATAACTGACTTGGCCGCAAACAGTAGTGTTAATACACCATCATATGACAGTCACTTCAAACTGGTGGGAATACTTGCTAGAAATAATTTTTTATATCAGCATTGGATAAGATTAGACCTAGCTTTTTCAGAGATCATTATTAAGTAACCCTTTTGAACGGATGATTTTTCTTTTTCGTTAACATTTGAAAAAAACCAAATTTTTATGTTAAAATTCCAATATTTCTAAAATCATGGCTATACTACAATTGACACGATATGCACGTTCATGGTTTGGGTTTGATTTAGCTTATTCGTTTGTCAGTTATCAATATAAAATTATATACCATTTGAGAGGCTAGGGAAAACGGGCAAAATTAAATGCCCGATTCTGTGTGAAATTATTCCACAGAATATGTACGTTTTTACATCCTGTTTTCATTGTTTTACCATACATACATTTAACCATTTTACATAAACAGTGGTTTCTTTATGTTACTCATACCTATTGCTACTATATTACCACAATCGAATATTATTTTCCCAAAGTTTGAGTCATTGTTGAACCTACTGAAAAATCTACAGAAAGAGGCTCTCAAAACACAAATCGCAACTTATGTCAAACTGACTTACTTTTTAACATAAGCAGAATACCTGCCCAACATCTTTATGTTAATAGTGTGGCAAGCAGCTGACGCCTAATCAAATTTTTTTTTATACTCCAACTCCAATATTAGAAAGTATGTATTTTAAACTAAAGTAACTTACAAAGCACTGTATAAAATAAGTGAAATATAAAAACTGGACAAATATTGAGCTAGGTTTGACTACTCTTGATGTATTTCATTGAAACAACTCAAACATAAAATGGTTTTCCCTGCAATCCTCGCAGTGGGTGTCTACTTTAAGTGTACGATTGGTAGCATATTTCCTTCCATGAAGCTAGTTTTTTTTCATCATAAAAATGGTTGCAACATCTTCTTGTTTTATGCTTATTTTCGCCATCTTTTCGTTTTAGAGAATGGTGTCGTCGTCTTTTTGCCGGTAGTTCATGGTCAATGTTCTCGTTGTTAGCAGTATTTACAAAGTATCTTATGACTTCCTTTTTAAACTGCGTAATCTTGATATTACATCCGGTAACATTCTTATATAATATAAAAGCATTTACCATGGAAGTTTTAAGCAAAAGCTCAAATGCAATTTTGCGATACCATTTGACAGATCTTCGAAGAGGATTAGAATATGATCCCATTTGATCAGAGAGATCCACAGAACTGTTTCCTCTATTGTAATCGATGACGACTTCAGGTATTATGGTGTTATTTCTCTCTACCATTTCAGCATCATGCTTTTTAGACAGTACAAGCACATCCCTTTGGTCTTTCCACTTCAGTAATGTCATCCCATGTTGGTTCTCCATGGCCGCAACTTCTCCTTTTTTAAGTTTTTTGTCTACAACTTCCTTTGGTACCCCCTTGCGGTTTTTGCGTATCGTGCCAATGAGGTGGGTATTAGAATCAAGCATCCTTTTAGCTAAAGGTAAAATCGTATGCCAGTTGTCTGTTACTAAGGTTCTGCCGACACCTATAATATCTTGGGTAAATAAATGTTACAATACCTTCTGGAGTTATTCATTCGCCATTTTGTTTGCCTGCGTAAATTTTGATATTATATGTGTAGCCTGTTCCTGAACACAACTTAAATATTTTGATACCATACTTGTGTCTTATCAATTTTATATATTGTTTTATAGACAACCCAACTAACAAAGTACTGCTATAAGCTTTTGGTAAAGGAACCGTTCAGCCATAAAAGCTGTCTATTGTTGTTGCCTGAACACCAAAATGCTGGCTTTATGTTGTGTGGAATGCAAATTTGCTTTCTGCAACATATATGCTCTAAAATGAGGTGTTTAAAATATTGTTATAGCATAGTTACACAACACCTTATGGGACAAATTTTTAACTGTTCAAATTTACTACTTTAGCCAACAAATTGCTCCCAACGGAAGCACTTATACAACTGTTGTTAAGTAACTGTTAAACGCTGTACATATGCTAAATATGTTGGTATACAACTTCACCATAACCTAACTTTCTGCTGTCATATTTTTGTTAAAATACCATAACCAATGTTTTAAGACAAACAACGCATGCATATTGGTTAAAAAGGTTTTATCAACTGTTCAAACAGAAGATATAGATCTGGTACAAATTCTAGGTAAATCATTGGACTCTGTCGGTATTTCATTTCTGACATTTGTCAAACTGTTGTACCTGCAAACACCTGCAGGCAACACCAAAATATTCTAACTAAATACAACATGGACGATGCCATGATTATACACAACCACCCGCCATATAGGGCAGACATTTATTCCTCTATTTGATATTAAATAATTATGATTCAGTTCGAAATTACAGATATAAAGTGATAAACATTAGTGTAATTGTGTCTAAATATAGGATTTGTCGAATATTTAACGCAGATAAGTTCAGTTTTCCATCTTAAAAATCTAGATATATTTTTGATCATTATCAAAATATGAATCAAATACGAAGCCTGTAGAAATTGCGTAACTACTTTGCACGATAATCACAATAAAATTTGCTGCGCAAGTAATTCAATAGCCCTATATCACAGTGTAGAAGTTTATCATATACCTGTGTATGAAATTCACCATGGCCGATATGTAAGTAGACAAGATGACTGTATTGTGTTAGTTATATATTCTCCACTTCGTCTATACAATACATAAGAAATAGTTTGGTTGCAATAAAGTAGAATCACGTAACAGAACAGCTGTATAGTTGACAAAAACTGAATCTTGCACTGACGCAAATGTCCTATTGCGGCTGCAAGAGGCTTACACTTTTGTTGTATAACTGTTACCTGCAGCCCTTATACAACCTCTTAAATGACTGAAGTGTCCTATTAGGTGTGTCCATTCCGCTTGTTTAGCTGTTCTAAGAGGGTTTGGCTAATGTTCTTACAGGATAATGCTGTGTAGGGAATACTGTATAATCATTCTTGCAACTCTGATAGGAGTGTTAATTGTTAGTTGGGAATCTTCCTCTATAAGGCGACATAGTCTCATCAACACATACATATTCTTCAGGAGTATAAAGATCTTTATAATTCTTCAGGAGTTTGTCTAGCAAATGTTTTATTTAAGCAAGTTTATCATTAGCGATAGCTTGATTGTTCTCTGCATAATGAACTGTTCGAAGTAAAATTTCAAATCGATTACGGCTGAATACAGAACGAGGAAAACTAAAGTTGAATAATGGATCCGTTGACCAGTAATCAGAAAAAGGAAGGTGCTTTGACCATTCCCATCCAGGCCACTAGCCCTAAGAAACGTTGTATTCCTGTTTTATTTGTTGGTACGCAATTATGGTAGCGGAAATTGTCACTTGCATCCGTTTCAAGCAAGAGACAACTAGAATAATGATTTGTTTCATCCGCAATATATGAGTAAATCGAATCGTCTACAACAGCTTCATACAATTGTCCTGGACTTGTATTTGCTGGTAAAGCGGCAACTTCTGGTTTTATTCCAGATGACTGGGTATAAGTTGGAATGGCTTTGCAAATTCTTGCGATTGGCCCCCATCCCTCATCATACATTGAAACAGTAGGCACCGGCGCCGGCATTTCCGATGAAGCAGACTTCCACAAACTTTCAGCTTCAGGTTGGTTTTGGTTAGTTTGGGTTAGAGATGCAGGTGCTCGACTTGTGCTGCCTTCATCACATGGTGGAATCCGTAACCTTTGTTTCGTTTTACTTGTTCTCGATAATTCACCAAAATCATCGTACGAGTCGATTTCTGAAGAATCCGATGGTTGATATGAGTCACTGTCGGAGCCTGGAAAAGGTTCTATGAATGACTCATTTGAATCGGAATCCCAAATCGTGTTCACAAGCTCCTCTAACTCTTTTTGCGTCAGGTGTCTATTTTCACATCTAAAATAAAATAACAAATGCACAGTATACAAAAACTGTAGTATATTACCTCTTACCTTATCGCAAAAATACTCTAAACTACTAAAACCACTAAAGAAGATGTCAGCAAGCAACAAGTGGTACAAAAAGCAAGTATAACTTCGCCAAACATTATTGCCGCTCAAAGTAACGTCAAGGGACCAGCGGCGCTACGAAAGAATATTACTAGATTTTTTTCGACAGGGGCCGCGCTGGTCTCATGGGACCACCATGAAAAAACTACAGAAAATTTATAAAAATTAACGATATTTCTATTTTGATTTCATGGGAAGTTAAATCTAAGTCCAATAAATGTATTCTTTCTCTTGGCCTCACAGAGGTAAGCAAGTTTTGTTGCTTGGCAGTCAACGTGTTAAACGTGTGGGCAGGTTTTGTCGATGCACGTCTAATTACATTGTTCATATTGCCAGATCGGGTGGATTATCACCAGTATTTGGAATTTCTTCGGGATGATTTGCCGGTCCTTCTTGAAGATGTGCTATTGGCGGTCCGAGCAGGGATGTAGCTTCTGAACGATGAGGCACATCCGCATTTTCGTTTATAAGTTCGTGATTTTTTGAATCAGGTATACCAGATACTCTGGATTGGATGAGCTGGACCAATTGCATGGCATCCACGGTCTCCCTGGACTTCTTTATATGGAAAAACTTGAAAAATAAGGTATACCGTACAGAATATTGAAGAATTGCATGACTGAATCACAGTGGCTGCCGATAATTTGTGCCTTCAGGCACAGCAGGAAGGAGGTGTATTTGAATTAGATCGCCCCAAATTGGATTAGACACGTCCAAGCTTGCATTGCAGTCTATGGAAGCAATTTTGAACAGCTTTTATAAGTAACTGTATTATTTTACTATCTCTTTTTCTGTAGGACTTTTACTACATTTTTCTTTTTCTTTTGGAAAATCAACTTCTTTCGTAACAGTACATATGTGGTTAAAATTTGTCGCATAAGATGTGAAACATACATACAGGGTATGTATAGCCAAATTCAGATCCTGGACTAAGTCCATAAATAAAGAACAGCAATGCTTACGAACCCAAGCTGCTCCGTCACTGTGAACAGTTGTATCTAGCGGTATTCGGTATTTACGACCAAAAAGTCCTTCTGCCTCCCATATCACGCACTCAAATACAACACGGTCGTACAGCATGGTTAACAAAAACAGCATTAAAAATTCATCCCTTTAAGCGATGATTGATAACGGCTGACGGGATATATTTCGAAAATAAAAACAACCCCTCAAAGAACGCTCGCAGAATAATTAATCACACCTCCTGTTTGGTGCTACCAGAAACAAAAATGTTTTACCGAGAGGCAAGAGTCGTGCGTTTTGGTGACACGTCGTTTATATTAATTTTGTTGTCAGATAACGCGGAACAAACAATAGTTCAAACATATGGATTCGAGTACTTCTTTTGAAACTGCGGCATCAAGTTCCATAAGACATTTATAACTCATTTACAAATTTCGATCTTGGTCATGGTATACTAGCCAAAGAGCACCAGACGTTCTTGACTTTAGTACGTTTGCAACGCTCCCTGGTAAGAGATGGCGCATTGTCAACAACAATGAGTGTAGTCGACAGTGTGATGTTAAATGAGCTGACGTTGCGCGATCTGTTCGCAAAACAGAACAAGGGGAGTGGATGTATTTGTCAGTGCTCAATGTACAAGGCAAAATTGAAAGAAGAATCATTATCCTGGTGGGTCCAGCATCATGCTCACATGAGCAGAGCTAGTTGATGCATTGTTAGAAAAAGGCCAGCTCTCCCAGCTTCTTTCTGGCAACGAATCACTTTCTGCAAAGGTAACAGGAACAATATTGAACCCAAAATGGAGAGAATGATAGAAATCACAGCTAATCACTACTGACTTGGACAATGGATCAAACATTTTTGCCCACCAGCGTTTATTCTTCAAACCACATGTCGTGATTCAATCTACTACTTCACGTGTAGTAAAAATGCTTTAAACGGTCGTCATCTACTCTGAAAATAGGACACCCGGCAACCCCTGTCAAAAAAAGATTCCCTCGTCTACCGATAAAGTATCCGACAGAGCTGCAATCTCCTTTCTCCCACGACCCCGGTGAAAACGTTTAATTTTTTCCCGGTGCTTCTAATACATCACGCTCTATTATTTTTGAGGAAAAAGGCTGGCGAGTCGCTGCCCTGGAGATTATCCTGTGACGAGGTCCTCGTAATGCCTCTAAACGAAAAACCAATTTGCTGGGGTATCTGCAGGGGTCTCAAGAGGCTTGTGCCGGTAACTTAAGCTATATTTCTCGACCGTATGAGCCGCATAACAATTCGATTTTCTTCCGACATATACTTTTTTGACATGTTTTTCTTGAAGCTATCTGCTTTATGCTCCAATAACTAGACGATCTGAATTTTTCATACATTACTTTTAAGAGGCGTTTCAGTAGCAGTATAGGTACCTATAATCCGTTTTAGCGAATACTAATTTACTGTAAGGCCCTTGAGAAGTTTTGTGTTATGGACATAGATTTTCTGCTTAGAAGACTTTGGTCATACCGGTAGTAGACTTTGGAAGGCAACGTATTGCTACTGAATTGCTGTAAAATCGTTTGATATGAGGTTCGTTTTCTAAGTAAGAACCATTTTGTAATATCACATCATTAATGAACTTAAGTTGTATCACAAACTGTAATATGAACATTTTTTAATTTCGACATAGTCACCAACATTTGTCAATTCGTGGCACTAGCTTTTGGAACCCAACGTTAAAGAACGCTGCCTGACCATTAAAACAGTAACCATTTCTTTCAACATATCATATTCCAAGCGCTTTCCATTGAGAAATTCTTTGTTACTGAGGAAGAAGAAAGTCTGTTGGTGTTAAATCAGAGCTGCAGGGTGGATGATCTAGTAATTCCCAACGAAACTGTTCGATTACGTGTGTGCTTGCCGCAATGCGAGGTCACGAGTTGTCGTGAGGTAGAATACGCTACTAGAATAGCAGATAAGCTTCAATAATGTGTCACAACACCTCTCAGCGTATATAATAATAATAATAATAATGTTTATTGTGACAAGATAAAGGTAAATATTAAATATTGTGCACAATAAACATAAAGCACCCAAAAAAGTTTGCACTTGTGCTTGGGTTTGTTAAAAATTAAAACTAAAAGTACAGTCAGTGTATGAAAAAAACGTTAATACTGTATGATTTGGTGAATTAAAGTATTATGATGATGTCAGGAAAAATATCCAGACAATTATAAGTAAAATAAAAGTATGGATGTTAGTGTAAGTAAAATATTATTGATTTTGATAATGATTTTTCATATCTACAATTTCGTGGATGGAGCACCTTGGTTGTTATAAAATCCATTTTTTTGTTCCTTTTTAAATGATCTATTTGATTTAATTAATTTTAATGACTCTGGTATGAAGTTATAGAATCTTGGTCCCAAGAAAAACAGAGATGGTTGTGTAATGGTTTTTGATGTTTGTGGAATACGCATTGAATTTTAACTGAATCTTGTTCGGTAGTTATGAATGGTACGATTCAGGTATTTCGAATATTTAATAGAATGTATTAGTCCACAAATTTGTCTGCAATCTAATAGCTGAGCCTCCACATATAGAGGATCACTTGAATAAGTAATCTCCCTATTGAGGATCAATTTTAGAATTAACTTTTGGATTACATCAACCTTTTTGTAATTACTATTCATAACTCCCACCAGGCCAAAATTCCGTAAAGTAATAGAGGATAAACAAGAGCATAACAAAGATTATATAGATATTTCTTGTCCAGAATATCTCTGAAGTACCTGAATTTTGGAATAATACATCTCAGTCTCTTCACAAGGTACTCTGTATGGGTATTCCATTTTAATTGATTGTCCAAAATCACGCATAAGTATTTCATTTTATTGGCTGACTGAACCTCTTTGAGACCACTGCTTGTATGAACTCCAAGTTTTTTAAATTGTGGTGAGAGCCTGTCGTTACAAGAAAATGCGTGTTTTGTTATAGTTCTTTCTGAAAAGAAATTTATAAATGTTTTGAAATCATTTTCGATTGTGTTTTTAAGTGTATGCCACTGGTTACTTTCATAGAGAATAGCTGTATCATCCGCAAAACTAATAACTTTACCTGTAGGACTTATTTTGAATAAATTGTCGTTAAACAGATTAATTAAAATGGGTC